ACCCAGTGGTGTCACGCAGCCGAGCCGCGGGGCCCGGCCGATATCTTCAGCAGAGGCGGCCCGGGGACGGACCTCGCCCCCGGCGGACCGTGGATACGAGGCCCAGCTGCGCGGTCCGGCCCGGCCGCCCTCTCCGACGACGAGACGAGGGTGACAGCGTGCGTCACCGAGCGAGCGGAGCCGGTCGTAAACAGCAGTGACTTCTCGTCCTGCCTCATGGACTCCGGCGGCCTGCTCAGAGTCGGTGGCCGTCGCTGGAAGCGGAAGAACACGCAGCCGCAGGATCGCTCCTGGCGACGCCGGCGGCGAGAGTGTCTCCCCGCGCACGCCGACCGCACACTGCATGCCGATCATGGACACGACCGAGGTCAGGGTTGGCGAACTAGTGCGACTGACCGACGTAAACGTACCACGTGGACAATGGGACATTGGTCGGTGAGATGAGCGGAGTGTGTGACCCTGGTGTGGGCGGTCTTATTCCCGCCGTTGACGTGACGACTGATACCGGCCAATACAGGCGGCCTGTCTCTCGTCTCTGCCGTCTTGAGTGCGACGGCGACGGACAGTAAATGGACTCGGAGAGATAATGTGCGCGCACGTGGGACGGCTAAAGTGAGTCGTCTACGACCGCACTGTGCCGCCGGCGAGCAGTGTGGAGATCGGAGCGTTTATTAGTGTTTCCTGCGCCCACCATTCGCGGTGCTAACGTGTGTGTGTGTGCGTGAGAGAGTGAGCCGCTCATTCTGTCCGCTGCGAATGGTCATTTGTGTTGAGTGTTCACTGTTCAGCCATTAGCTATCAGCTGTGAGCCGTGTGACAGTTCTTGGACGCGCTAGTAGTTTACGACCTTAGAGTGTAACATAGCAGTGTTAGATTAGTTTATGATACGCATCGTGTTAGCGCTGTTGTACGTCCGCGTTTGTTCGCTTCGCCGCTTCGGTAACGTAATGTGTGTTGTGTTGTACATTGTGATGGATGTTTGTTGTGTGTCGGCCATGTGACGGCAATGTCACTGCCGCCAATGCCTCTCGGCCCAGCGTGTGTAGTTTACGACATGCGTCAGTGTGTGTCGGCACCCGGCTGCCGAGACCGCGCCGTCACCAGTTTTATGACTGGGTGATTGTTGGCGGGGATAATGCCTGCCTCAGTCAGACATTGTGTAGTGCGTAATGTGCATCGTATGTGAGTGTATGTATATCGCGCATGTTGAACGGATCGTTACGAGTGTGTGCGTGCGTACGGGACGCTTGAACGATTGCTCGCTAGTTGTTGGATTTTCCGCGGATGATCGCGAAAAACCGGGCCGGCTATGTTAGCGAGCAAATAGGCATTTTGGATACCTTCGCAAAGACGGCCGGCGCTCGGAGCGCGGCGGTCGGTCCGCCGCGCCACGCCGCTCACATATGTGTCATCTGGCCCCTGTCCTGGTTCTCATGCCCACGTGTTGTGCGTACCACGAGGGCTGAGACGGGACGGGGGCCTGACAGTCTTCGACGGGACTCCACCGGTGCGCGACGGCCCGGTGCACGACGTGGCCGACGTGGCCTTACGTACGACGCGGCCGACGTGGCCCTACGAGAACGATTCAGTGAACCGCATTTGTGACCGCCGTATTTTGTGCATTTTAATCGTTTCCGTTTCATTCAAGAATAGACTTTTACTTATATGAACAATAACTTTATGGTCCTCCGGGTGACGAAAGAGAACGAGTGAACGATCACGAGCACGCACGAACATTTCCGTATTGAACGGGTGAACTGTACGATTCTCACGAACATCTGGCATTCGGTTGCCGCTAAACTAGTCCAATTTTCCCCTGACCTTGTACGGGGTTTGTGACCTGGTGACCTAACCTGAAAAGACTAGAGATGTGAAATTTTCAGGACAAGTGCCAAAAGGTTGCCCCAGAGGGTAGGTATGCCAAATTTGAGCGCCGCCGTCTTTACGTTATTTGTGAAAAACCTTAGGGGGGTGCATCAACCCCCTCACCGGGCGAGGACTAACTAACATAATACATTGTAGTAAAGGCTACCCGAACCGGTAATGATTCTTGCTTATTTGTTTAGCTCAGCCGTATTTAGTGATTTAGCTGGCTTTGTCCATGAATAACAATATCGGCAGGGGCGTAGCCAAGGGGGAGGGGCCACGGGGGCAATGGCCCCCTCCCTTGAGGGCAAAACGCGCCATGGGGGAGCCCCTCAGGTCCCGGGATATTTTTTTTCAAACACTGGATAAAACGTCTTTTACTCGAAAAAGAATTGATATCGAAATTTCATTTCTGTGGCCCTCTGATGACCCAATGGGCCCCTGCACTCATCCGATGACCCCCGGTTTCCTGGGGCCCCTGGTCGCCTAGAGGGCCCCGGTCGCTTGGGGGCTAGTCGCATGGGGGCCCCTGGTCGCCTGGGGGCCTGGTCGCATGGCCCCTGCCCCCTGGTCGCCTGGAAGAACGCTTGTCACCTGCAGTGGAATAGCCAAGGAGGGGGCCAAAGGGACCATGCCCCCCCTGGAAGCCAGGGGTCCTTATTCTATAGGAGCCCCTGGCTGACACAGTGGGCCCTTGGCGACGCAAAGGCCCCTGCGGCAGATCTTTTGACACAGCTGAGTAGTTATACTTTGGCCAAGAGAGCCCCAATTTTAGAGCCTTGGGGCCCTATTGAAACCAGGGGGTCAGTTGGATGGGATGGGTCCAACTTGGGTCCAACGGTGTGTAAACAGAATCAATGCGTTCCGACTGTTGGTCTGACCCTATATCGGTTTGAGGGAGCTCGGATCGGATCCACTGTCGATCTGAGGGGTCCCTATCGGTTTGAGGAAGCCCTCAAATGCCCTGAACGGGTCCTTAGTTTGTCTGAGAGAGCCCTCCGTCGGCATTACTGGGCCTCTGCAAGTGCAAAGAGGGCTTTTGACGGTCTTAGTGGCCCTTAGGCGGCTTATATGACTCTCAGACGGCTTACGAGGCTCTCATGCGCTGTAGGGGCCTGTGACGGTCTGAAGAACCCTCATCCGACCTACGGGCCCTCAGACCGCCCTCAAAACTGACTGGCGACTCTATGAAGCTATTCGTGGGCCTATCTAACAGGGCCCATGGACTGCTTACCCCCTCAGTTCTAATATTTTTTTGTTAATAAATATTTTTTCTATTTATTTGGGCCCCCTCCAAAAAATATTGGATCCAACCAGATGGCTTTTTGGATTTTGAGGGGGTTATTTTGGGCCCCTGTGCGTTTGGCCCCCTCCTTGAGGAAATTTTGACTACGCCCTTGAATATCGGGCAACCAGAAAACTTTTTTTGACCTTCAAACAGCATCCAGTTTGCTTAAGACCAGAAAGGTAGTACCGGTCGTCCGGCCGGACCAGAATTTTTGCATTTGCTTCTGGGTGGGCAAATCGACGCCACTGGGTGGGCAATTGTGGTGACTGGGTGGGCATTTGCCCACCCAGTGGGTATGTTAGAGGAGGCCCTGATGGCACCAGGGACTCTATATGAACTGGACCCAGGGTGCTCGCCAAGAAGACCAATGTCTCCATCCTATGATCCCTTCCGGCTCTGAAATGGTCTTGTCAGACCGAAAGGGCATAACCCAACAAAGCAAACCGAATTCGTCAGCTGGCTGCGTGGTGTAGTGGCTAGCGCACTAACCTCGCGTTCGAATGGCACTGGGTTCGAATCCCATCGCCGGATGTTGCTTTTGGCGTGTTGTCCCAGTAAACATGCCGACGTCGGCGACTGGGGGGCTCGAATCCTGCCGCCGGTTGATATTTTTGGCGCGTTGTCCCAATAAACATGCCGACGTCGGCCCCGTCGGTCCAACGACAAACGATCTCGTCAACCTCGGCAAACGATCTCGGCCCGACGTCGGCTCGACGTCGGCTGGACTTCGGCTAGACGTCGGAACATGCGGGCATATCCGACGTCCAGCCGATGTCGGGCCGAGGTTGAACCGACGTTGGGCCGATGTCGGGCCGAGCCTCGGCCCGACGTCGGGCCGACGTCGTCATGTTTACTGGGTAGGCATGTGAAAGACAAATTGCTTCAGACCCAATCGCTAACTACTAAAGCATTTCGATTTTAAATGCGTTTTATGTACACACCGGGTTAATTTCATGTCCGAAGTTGAGCAAATGGGAACTAAAAATGTGTTGCCGGTTAAAAAGTAATTAGAGCTGGGAGGAAAAGCTTGCGGCTGTCTTGAATCATCGCGAAATTGGAGTGTTTCAATAAACTATACGGGTCCGAAGGCGTACTGCTGTCGGTACAGTATTCCCTCAGCAGCAGCCCTGCCCGCCGTGGGTGTACTATGGGTGTGCTGTGGGTGTACTGTGGGGGTACTGTGGGGGTACTGTGGGTGTACTGTGGGTGTACTGTGGGTGTACCGCGGGGTACGTGTGCTGTGGGTGTAAGTGCTGTATGTAAGTAGGTAGAGCAGAACTCTGAGAATTAGCTGCGGCTGCGGTTACCCTGTCCGCTGCGGTCGCTGTGGGTGCAGCGCACCTCTGAGAAGCAGCACTGCCCCCATCAGACTTGAATCATCGCGAAATTGGACTAGTGAACTGGAGTGTAATCGCCACGCCGATTGTGGATTGCTCTTGATCGTCAATACATACATACATACATACATACATCAGTCACCGTTGTCGCCCCGCTGCGGCCACTGCTGTGACCTCACACCGGCTGTATTATTCAGCGGCTGATTGAGCCATTAGCCACGGCCGCCAGCTCCGGAGGGGTCGCTGTCAGTTCTGTCGGAATTGATGGTGTTTGACGCGGCCGGTGAGACCGTCTGTGTCCTGGCTTATCTCAGACAGACTGCTCACCGAACGGGTACCCTGTGAATTCGAGCGCGCGAGACATGCTTTGAGGCACAAAGCAGGGGTGACTACCTGAATGGCAGTGGGTATTGTGGGGGTACTGTGGGAATAATGTGAGCGTGCTGTGGGCGTACTGTGGGTGTACTGTGGGGAACTGTGGGGTACTATGGACGTAAGGCGTTTCTCACCTGCGCTGAGGTAGACGCCGTTCAGCAAACTGCCCACCCAGGCCACCTTGCCGACGCCTTCGCCGAAGTACTCGACAAACTCGGGCATGAAGATGCCGAAGCTGTAGGCGATGCCGTCGACGATCATGTTGCAGATGAAGGATGCGGCCACGACGACCCAGCCGTAGCCGCCGTCGGGCGGCGTGGGCACCTCAGTGAACTCGAGGTCGCCGACATCCACGTCGGCAATACTGTCCGCTGCCGGGCATAAGCAGACGGTGAGACAAAGTGAGGCAGTGAGACGGCGTGACAGTGAGTCACAGCGAGGCAGTGAGACAGTGTGACAGTGAGACTGACAGTGAGACACAGTGAGGCAGTGAGGCAGTGTGACAGTGTGACGGACAGTGAGACACAGTGAGGAAGTGAGACAGTGTGACAGATAGACAGTGAGAGAGTGACCTGCAGGGCAACTGAAACTGCCGTACACAGAAACAGTGAGTTACAGGAAACTGGGCGGGCAGACAGATGGACAACAGGCCAATTGACCAAGATAATGTGCTGCCTCGGCTGAGAAAGGCTGACATTGTGTACACAATTTCATACATGTTTACACATGAATGCTTGAACACAGCGCCAAAATGTTATTCACTTGTTGAGATCATCTGAAATATGCGGGAGGGAAACTTACGGGAACAGAAGCTGCACGCATGACCTGTCCGGCACCCTGACTCCCGGGTCTCATTTGACCTGACCCGCACTCCCGGGTCTCGTGTGGCCTGACCTGCACCCTCGGGTCTCTCATGTCTGACGTGGCCGAAACCGCCGGGGTCTCGCCACACCCAGCGGTCAATACCGGTCAATGCGGGGTCGAATCGACCCGGAGGCGGCACCGCGGTACCTCATAACCCGGTGGCACACACCCCTCCGGCGGCGGCGACGCCCCCGCCAGCGCCGCCGCACCTAGCGCGGGTCCAGGGTCCGGTCCGGTTCGGGGAAACGGTCGGCGACGGTCTGCCCCGACCGACGCAGCGGCAACGGGGTGACATGGACAACAGGGGTGATTGGGGCGGCAGGCGCGACCGGCCAGAGATCATAGGCTACAGGTCAGGGCCGGGTGACCGTGACAGCAGGAGAGACCGGGACAGCTGGGGTGACCGGTCACAGGTCAGCGGTCACCAGGTCAGCGGTCACCAGGTCAGCGGTCACCAGGTCAGCGGTGTCAGGTCAGCGGTCACCAGGTCAGCGGTGTCAGGTCAGCGGTGTCAGGTCAGCGGTGACCGTGTGGAAGTCGACCGCCGCTGCGCCGCTCTGCCGTCGGCGCCGCTGAAGGCCGGGGTCGGTCGGTGGCCGCCACAGCACCGGTTGCGTCTGATCAATAGACCAGCTGGCTCGGGCCTGATACGAGTAGGCACACGGAGGGCCGCCCTCCGACGGTACAGAGCCGGCAACTGGGCGCCGGCTCACGCACAGAGGGACCGGGACAACCAGCAGCCATACCAGTGCGGCCGAAACTAGCACATGCTAAACGAAAAATATGGAAATTTTCCCCAACTTATCGTTGCAAAATAATTGTCAAAAAAGGGTCCGACGTCATAGCATTTCAACTTCTTTCAGTATACCTACATTCCTACATATATGTAGCAATTACTGCAATGGTCTTCAACAGCCGTTAGGGGGAAAACGCTGAGGCAATGCATGAGCCGTCTCGTTAAGTGCTGCGTCATTGATACATAGGTGCATTGCAATAATGTTATAAAAAAACATTTCATGGTAAGAGGTACCTAAATTGTGTAGCATTGCGTCTTGCCAATATCAATTCCTATGCTACTTAATTTGCTATGCAATGCCATCCAGCTCTAATGGATTTCAGTTGGCATTCGAACAATTTCACCATTATGAAAAAAATAGATAATCTCAGTGAATTATCTTCCCTTTCAATTTTCTTATCGTTGCCACCGTATCGTATCGTATCGTATCGTTGGGCCATGAATCTGGGCTCACCAGGCCGCCCATCCTGAGTGAGCCGGGCGCGGCGCGGCGGGCGTTGTTTGCTCTCGCACCGCTCACCGCGTCTGGACACCGTCTCCGCTCTCGGTTTACACTGAAACCACTGTGCCATTCATCTCTGTGGCCAAAACATCCGCTAAAGAGGACTCTGGCGGACACCTCCAGGGGAGCGGCCCGACCCCGACCCCGACCCCGACCCCGGGCCGGGCCGGTGGACCGCTCACCAGTGATAACCGGCTCCGGCCGACCGACCGACCGCGCCCTGTACAGTGCACAGTCAGACGGCCCTCCCACGGCGGGACCCGCACAAGAATAGCCCGCCAGCGCCACCAGAGGCGGCCGCTTCCCTATAGCGCGTCTCCCGCTCCCGGTCTAACTGGCAGCTCTACCACTAGCTGCCCCGCTGAGCAAGTGATCTTAGTGCGGCGGATGTCCGAACCGGCTGGGGTGCGGCCCGGCGGGCCATTGCAACTGGTCTGCACGTCCGGCTGGGGTGCGGGCCATTGCGACTGGTCTGCGTCCGGCTGGGGTGCGGCCCGGCGGGCCATTGCGACTGGTCTGGGTTCGGCTGGGGTGCGGGCCATTGCAGCTTGTCTGCGTCCGGCTCCAATACTGGCGCGCGTCCGTCAGACTGCCCGTCCCACTCCTCTCCAGCTCCTCCTCCTTTCTTCCTCTCCAGGAAGAAAGTACCACGTCCGTCTTTAAACATATGTAAAGTTCATAACTAATGGTCACGCTAGCAGCCATCTTACCTCTGCAGCGGGCGGTTGGCGCCATCTTACCTCTGCTGCGGGCATTTGTATTACCCCTGCGGCGGGTGTTTGGCGCCATCTTACCTCTGCGGCGGGCATTTGTCTTACCCCTGCGGCGGGTGTTTGGCGCCATCTTACCCCTGCGGCGGGTGTTTGACGCCATCTTACCTCTGCGGCGGGCGTTTGGCGCCATGGGTGATGACGGTGAGGACGGATTGGAGTTTTCATCTTGTCGGATGCCGATTACGATGCCCTTTTCGCCCTGCAACAGTCGAAAGGCAGAATGGTTAACACGCTGAACAAACGAGACCATGGGGCTTAAACATCAGCCAGAAAGCCTTACTTGCATCCGTTTATAGACGCTCGGCTCACATAAACACAGTAAAGAGTTAAACATTTGCGCATTTCAGGTGCGAGCATAGGTATGTACGTCGAATTCCACGATTTGAATGCACCCTTAATCAACGCGTAATCGAATTGCTATAGGTATCTGCCTAAATCGAATCGAACTTCTGCTATCACTTTAACTGATCTTACTTTTTCGTCTGTATACTCGTTGACCCTTGTCCTGCTTTTACTCCCAATGGTTGAAAAAGTCAGAGTTTTAATGGATAGATTATGAAAGTAAAAACTAAAAGATAAGTATGGAACCATTCCACCCATATAGCGCTCGGCGCTAGACATCACTGCAACTGTTCCGCCGATCACTCCCGCGCCTCCGGCCAATAGGAGATCAGAGATGGTCAGTGGAATTTCAGGGCATCAGTCAGTTTGAGCTCTAATTGCCGGTGGGGATCAGCGGCGATTAGTTTCCGCCACTGCGGATCAGCGGCGCTCAGTGTGCCGGAGCTATCAGTTCGGAGTAGATATAGCGCGTAAGTGGGTTGATGTGCGCCCGGCTGCCATGGCAGCTCTGTGAAGGAGCCGGGCTATCGGTGCCGGTCGGTGGACACGGTCCCCTCGATACCGACCTGCAATCGCCGCCGATAGGGCCCGCGAGGTCAGTGGGCCGCCCGGCCCGCAGAGCACGCGGCGGCCACCGAGCGCCGACGATCCGGCACGAACCGGTTCACAGGAAGCCCGCCCATTGAACGTCCCTCCGAGCCCCGGCCGCCGCGGCCTGCCTGCCGAGGAGGCGCGCCGCGGCCAGCACTCCGGGCCACAGTCGCAGTCCCGCCGGCGGAGGACGCCCAACTCGGCTACAGGCAACCACACTGTGTGCCGGAATGCAGACGCTTCAGCTCATGTGTCACCATCGGCGAGGTTTGGTAGCTGTTCGAAATAAAAACGCACTTGCCACTTATCCTCCCAGGACAGCTAATGTTTCCGCGGCGCGGTAGATCATAGTGCACTTCGATTACAACTTCGTCGTCCGGTGCTGTGGTGAGGGCGCCCCCGGTGGCCGGGGCGTCCGGCTAGCCCCCGTCGCAATTTACACCAATTTAACACCAATTAAAGCAATTTATATCGCATTTTACACCAAACTTTGTAAAAAAGAAAGAAAGAAAATATCCCAGTGCTTCACCGCAATGAAGTGAGAACCGAGCAGCATGATTGGGTGTGCCGTCTTATCACAAGCGAATGCCATCTCTCATACGGACAAACTGTCTGGTTTCGTTTTACAGGGTCAGGCTAGGCCATTTCGGTCTGACAAGACCTTTTCAGAGCCACATGCTAGGAGATGTGAGACGTTGGTCTGTGTGGCCTCCCTGTCGCTCCGCCGAGGCTGAGCCTTCACGCGGACAGCTCAACCATCCCCGCCAACGGCCAACCACCGCACGACGGGCCTGCTCCTGAGGAGCTACTCAGTACTCACATCGGATGAAGATGGCCGTCCAGTCCAAATCAGGAGGTTTGAGGTGTGGAGGAGAAGGATTTGATTGTCCTGAGGGTGGAAAATGACGGAATGGTGCGTACTGCGTTCCATATGGAGCGTTGGTATCCCTGATATTCAGTCAGCTGGTACGGCGAATCGCATGCAACTGTTATGAGGAGTGGCCGCGGTCAACAGGTAGTGCGAGCCGTTGTCACACCACCTGCGGGTATGCTGATCAATAACGGCATTTGAAAAATCAAACATTGTTACAGGCATAATTATACCGTGTCTGCCTGGCTGCCAGGAACGGTTAAAGAAAACCAACTGCTTACACCTCAAACCTGGCAGCAGCACAACAGCCTTACATTGCCGGTCGCATTCAGAAGACAGCTTGAAAGTCCCGGGAAACATGGGCCATCCCTACCCTGCCGCACAGGGCCCTCCCTCCCTGTGCCGTCCAACCATGAGCGGAGGGCGCAGGTCCTACCTATCGTCTTAGCTCCAGACTCAGGACTCGGGACCATTCCAGTAACACCAGAACATTCCATATTGTTCCAGATCATCCCAGTTACCCAAGGGCAGGCCATCCCAGGTCATCCTATAGGCCATTTCAGGCCATCCCAAACCATCCCAGTCCATCCTAGTAACCCCAGGCCGTTCTAAGCCACCCCAGACCATCCTATCCCAGCAATCTCAGACCACCGAGGCCGTCTTTTACATCGAGTGCCTGGGTGACTCGAACACAGACTCTGACCACCGGGTGCCCCAGACTGAGCTACGAGAGGTGACGGTGACGTTACATAAGGAGGGCAGCGTGACGGTTCGGTTACGTACGGAGGGACGCGTGACGGTTCGGTTACGTACGGAGGGCCGCGTGACGGTGACGTTACGTACGGAGGGCAGCGTGACGGTGACGTTACGTACGGAGGGCAGCGTGACGGTTCGGTTACGTACGGAGGGCCGCGTGACGGTGACGTTACGTACGGAGGGCCGCGTGACGGTGACGTTACGTACGGAGGGCAGCGTGACGGTGACGTTCTGCAGGGTGCGGTGCTCGGCCAGGAACGGCTCCAGCTCCACCGGCTGGTCGTCCACCTCGTGCTCGGAGATGGTGCGCAGTCGGCCGGCGCGCGGCGTGCCGCCCCCTCCCTGCGACGAGCTCTCGGAGGTGGTGCGCGCCCGACGCGCGCCGCCCGGCACGGCCACCGGCGACGACGACGGCTGCATGGGGGCGGCGGCGGCGGCGACAGGAGCACGGCGTGCCTCCCGCTCGGACCCCGGCGGCGGCTCCACTGCCTCCGCCGCCCGCGCCGCGACGCCGATAGCCGCTGCCGTTGCACGCGATAAGGCGGACACCTCGAGTGGATGGACGGTCCACTGCTAGAGAGGCGGCACCGACCCACCGACGGGCGACGGCCGCGCAACGGTCCGGTGCCGGGGGCTCGCCGGGCGCACCGGGACAAAGATCAGGGACGAGCGGCGGCGCCGGGGTGGTCCGGACGGGTCACCGGTCAGTCCGTCCGTACCGTTAGACCAGCGGGGGCGCCTCCTCCTACAGACACGCCGTGGGGCCGCAGCAAACACCGACGGCAGATTGTCATGGCTACCAAACAGCGGTGGCAGGCTCCCTGTGCTGTCACAAACTATCACGAGCCGTTTAAGCGTCCCGGTTCACACCCGGGACAGGCGCCGGCGATAACAGCCTGTCTCGGCTCGGGCCGTCAGATGTGACGACGGCGCTGACAGGGACCAGGCCACCGGACCAGGACCACACCGTTCACTTTGAGGTCCTCCGCGGAGGCGGCCCGGCCCGGCCGCCGACAGACGGCCCAATCGTCCGCTGTTCCACTCCGCCACAAACCTTCACCCACTGTTCCACATGTAACGGAAGTTAGCAGGGATTCAGCAGGGGTTCAGCAGGGATTCAGCAGGGATCGACGGCCCCTACGATTTCGCTGAATTTTGGTGGAGAGGTGCAGAATGGTGTCCTCTATCGAAAATCCTAGCGCCAAAATGCGGGGAATCCATCAGGGGGGCCACAAATCCCAAAAAACAGTATGCCCTCAGGGCACAATCGACGAACTTTGAAAACCCTACTTCTAGCCGTCAAAACAGCTAAAAATGCACGTCATTCGAAAGAGGACAAAATTTTACGTACAACGGTACCAAATTTAGGGGGCTAGCGCCCCCCTGAACCGAACAAAACAGCTTCAAATATATGGGCCCGGGAGTATGCCCTCGGGGCATAAATAAAAGTTTTCAACAATTTAAGGCCTATAACATCGACAAAATCCAGCAATATGCACATCATTAGAAAGAGCGTAATTTCCCAAACAAAAAACCCAAGTAACATTTTTCGATGGGGCCCACCTGGGGCCCACGGGACCCAATTGAAATTTGGGGCCCAATGGGGCGGCCCCTACGATTTTCTTCAAAATTTGCACAGACACTCTCCTGGGCCCCCTCTTCAATCTGGCTGAAGAAACCTACCGGGGAATCCAAAGGAAGGGGCCCAAAGAGGGCCCCAAAGAGGCCCTTTCTAAGTATTGCCCCTAATTTCGCGACCAACCCCGGCAATATGCACATCATTGGATAGAGCGTAATTTCCCAAACAAAAAACCCAAGTAACATTTTTCGATGGGGCCCACCTGGGGCCCACGGGACCCAATTGAAATTTGGGGCCCAATGGGGCGGCCCCTACGATTTTCTTCAAAATTTGCACAGACACTCTCCTGGGCCCCCTCTTCAATCTGGCTGAAGAAACGTACCGGGGAATCCAAAGGAAGGGGCCCAAAGAGGGCCCCAAAGAGGCCCTTTCTAAGTATTGCCCCTAATTTCGCGACCAACCCCGGCAATATGCACATCATTGGAAAGAGCGTAATTTCCCAAACAAAAAACCCAAGTAACATTTTTCGATGGGGCCCACCTGGGGCCCACGGGACCCAATTGAAATTTGGGGCCCAATGGGGCGGCCCCTACGATTTTCTTCAAAATTTGCACAGACACTCTCCTGGGCCCCCTCTTCAATCTGGCTGAAGAAACCTACCGGGGAATCCAAAGGAAGGGGCCCAAAGAGGGCCACAAAGAGGCCCTTTCTAAGTATTGCCCCTAATTTCGCGACCAACCCCGGCAATATGCACATCATTGGATAGAGCGTAATTTCCCAAACAAAAAACCCAAGTAACATTTTTCGATGGGGCCCACCTGGGGCCCACGGGACCCAATTGAAATTTGGGGCCCAATGGGGCGGCCCCTACGATTTTCTTCAAAATTTGCACAGACACTCTCCTGGGCCCCATCTTCAATCTGGCTGAAGAAACCTACCGGGGAATCCAAAGGAGGGGGCCCAAAGAGGGCCCCAAAGAGGCCCTTTCTAAGTATTGCCCCTAATTTCGCGACCAACCCCGGCAATATGCACATCATTGGAAAGAGCGTAGTTTCCCAAACAAAAAACCCAAGTAACATTTTTCGATGGGGCCCACCTGGGGCCCACGGGACCCAATTGAAATTTGGGGCCCAATGGGGCGGCCCCTACGATTTTCTTCAAAATTTGCACAGACACTCTCCTGGGCCCCCTCTTCAATCTGGCTGAAGAAACCTACCGGGGAATCCAAAGGAAGGGGCCCAAAGAGGGCCCCAAAGAGGCCCTTTCTAAGTATTGCCCCTAATTTCGCGACCAACCCCGGCAATATGCACATCATTGGATAGAGCGTAATTTTCCAAACAAAAAAACCCCAAGTAACATTTTTCGATGGGGCCCACCTGGGGCCCACGGGACCCAATTGAAATTTGGGGCCCAATAGGGCGGCCCCTACGATTTTCTTCAAAATTTGCACAGACACTCTCCTGGGCCCCCTCTTCAATCTGGCTGAAGAAACCTACCGGGGAATCCAAAGGAAGGGGCCCAAGGAGGGCCCCAAAGAGACCCTTTCTAAGTATTGCCCCTAATTTCGCGACCAACCCCGGCAAAATGCACATAATTGGAAAGAGCGTAATTTCCCAAACAAAAAACCCAAGTAACATTTTTCTATGGGGCCCACCTGGGGCCCACGGGAACCAATTGAAATTTGGGGCCCAATGGGGCGGCCCCTACGATTTTCTTCAAAATTTGCACAGACACTCTCCTGGGCCCCCTCTTCAATCTGGCTGAAGAAACCTACCGGGAATCCAAAGGAAGGGTCCCAAAGAGGGCCCCAAAGAGGCCCTTTCTAAGTATTGCCCCTAATTTCGCGACCAACCCCGGCAATATTCACATCATTGGATAGAGCGTAGGGTAACTGTGGGGAAAACGCACCCCTGGGTTAAACGCCTCCCCTAAAAAAATCGTAGATCTTATCGGCGGATAGGTGTTTTATCCTGTCTTTCAGAACAGTCAACTGCTTGTTTACGTAGTTCTCTATTTCCGGTTCTGCGTCTTGGGGAGCAGCGTGGGTAGGTGCTGATGTTGGTTTTGGGTGTTGTTTTTGTTGTTTTTACAGAAGATTCCTAAGCTTTTGATGCCCTCTTTATTTCACAAAACTTGCTATTGTGCACATCACTCAAAACTGCGTTTTATTGTCATTCTGTTGAATTTATTATGCTGTGGCGTTAGTGGCGCGTTTTTTGTCAATATTTTGTTGACCGGAAATGGAGTGGATGGGGAAAGACGCCTACTCGATGCATGGGGCAAGACGCCCCCAGTTTTCTGAAAGGGGGGCGTTTTGCACGGTGGTGAGAGTGCAGGGTAGCGCCCTGCAGGTCGGGGCCGAAAAGGCCTCTCCCTGTCCTTTTTTGCTGATACATCCTAAACGACTGCAGATATCGTCACCAAACTTTCAGGACTCCTCCGGGCATCCATTTTACACATTGCAACAACATTTTATTCCAAAGGCTATGATAGGTTGATTACAAATGACGTCAGAATGACGTCAAGTTGTGCCATGTTCATCATTTTCTCTGTTGATGGATGGGGTGGGGGCGCTTTGCACATGGGTGTGGGCGTATTACCCAGGGTGTGGGGCAAAACGCCCTTTTGTAAGGGTATGCGGAAACCTTTTTTGGGGGTTAAATACCACACGCAAGTGTCTTTTCTTGGTCTCAAAGCGTAGTAAAAAGAATGAGCTACATGATGGTGCCCAAAGGTTTGAGTAATCTGGGTTGGGTTGAGTGTCAGAAGGTTTCGCGCTTACTGGGGGCGTTTTTGACCTATTCACCCTAATTTCCAAAACAAAAAACCCAAGTAACATTTTTCGATGGGGCCCACCTGGGGCCCACGGGACCCAATTGAAATTTTGGGCCCAATGGGGCGGCCCCTACGATTTTCTTCAAAATTTGCACAGACACTCTCCTGGGCCCCCTCTTCAATCTGGCTGAAGAAACCTACCGGTGAATCCAAAGGAAGGGGCCCAAACAGGCCCTTTCTAAGTATTGCCCCTAATTTCGCGACCAACCCCGGCAATATGCACATCATTGGAAAGAGGAAATTACGCTCTTTCCAATGATGTGCATATTTACGGGGTTGGTCGCGAAATTAGGGGCAATACTTAGAAAGGGCCTCTTTGGGGCCCTCTTTGGGCCCCTTCCTTTGGATTCCCCGGTACGTTTCTTCAGCCAGATTGAAGAGGGGGCCCAGGAGAGTGTCTGTGCAAATTTTGAAGAAAATCGTAGGGGCCGCCCCATTGGGCCTCAAATTTCAATTGGGTCCCGTGGGCCCCAGGTGGGCCCCATCGAAAAATGTTACTTGGGTTTTTTGTTTGGGAAATTACGCTCTTTCCAATGATGTGCATATTGCCGGGGTTGGTCGCGAAATTAGGGGCAATACTTAGAAAGGGCCTCTTTGGGGCCCTCTTTGGGCCCCTTCCTTTGGATTCCCCGGTAGGTTTCTTCAGCCAGATTGAAGAGGGGGCCCAGGAGAGTGTCTGTGCAAATTTTGAAGAAAATCGTAGGGGCCGCCCCATTGGGCCCCAAATTTCAATTGGGTCCCGTGGGCCCCAGGTGGGCCCCATCGAAAAATGTTACTTGGGTTTTTTGTTTGGGAAATTACGCTCTATCCAATGATGTGCATATTGTCGGGGTTGGTCGCGAAATTAGGGGCAATACTTAGAAAGGGCCTCTTTGGGGCCCTCTTTGGGCCCCTTCCTTTGGATTCCCCGGTAGGTTTCTTCAGCCAGATTGAAGAGGGGGCCCAAGAGAGTGTCTGTGCAAATTTTGAAGAAAATCGTAGGGGCCGCCCCATTGGGCCCCAAATTTCAATTGGGTCCCGTGGGCCCCAGGTGGGCCCCATCGAAAAATGTTACTTGG